TTCGATTCTCCTTGAGGCCTCCTTCGATTCTCCTTGAGAACTTTATCTCTCTAATATCACAACTCACTAAGTGTTCTGTAATTGATGGAATTCTCAATTGTGTCTGATGGTTGAGGAGAAGAGCTGTGGATTTCTTTTATAGACGGGAGAAGAGGGCCACGATTGATTTGTAACGGCAGAAGACAAATCCCACCCATCATGGTCTTTTATTGCCTTCAACGTTACAAATCAATTACCATAAAATCACCTTAATACCATGATTTGAATTACCCACAATTTAATTAATTAAAATAAAGATTAGTGGACCAAAAAATAAAACGTTAAAAACGTAAAACTAACAGTAATTGCTTCAACTTCCGACGAAATAGCGTTGTTTGCTTCTTGGGTTATTCGGACCACCGGGGCAACCGCTTGCCCATTCTCATGTTCCAATACTTCAACTCGATTCTCGATACTAACATGTTCAGATTTTTCGTTCCCAGGGGCTGCATACGATGTTCCTGGAAGATTAGTGTTTGGAGTCAGGTTTTTCGTCAAATCAATTCCGATTGATTGGTTCAATCCTTCATTATATTGCATCACTTAAACACTGATTGTAGAAAGAAACAACGGGGGCAACATTCTCATGTTCCAATACTTCAACTCGATTCTCGATACTAACATGTTCAGATTTTTCGTTCCCAGTGGCTGCATACGATGTTCTTGGAAGATTAGGGTTTGGAGTTAGGTTTTTCGCCAAAACAATTCCGATTGATTGGTGCATTCCTTCATTATATTGCATCACCTTTTTTCCAGTATCTTCGGAGCGAAGACGACCATCTTTTTGTTGCCATTCTTTGTGAGGCTCTGGTCGTAATCCACTCGACGACAATGAGAGACATGCTGCCCCCTTTGTTTCTTTCTACAGTCACTGTTCAAGTCACCCAATAGTCCAGAGTGTGTGCAAAAACCAACGTTACCTTCATACTCAACTTTTTGACAAAAACCCTTATCTTTCGACTCTCCAATCCAAATTCTTTGAGGTAAGTATGTAGAAACATCAACTTCTACCCATAAACGAGCACACATCAAATTTTGAAATTTGATGCTCCTTGCATCTGATCGAAGAAAAGTGCCAAGTTAATTACCAATTCTTTCCAAGTAAGGCAAAGTAAATTAGTAGAAGAGGAGCTTTGGGAGACGAATCCATGCAGCAACCCTTGTACTATGTTTATCGAAATTGAAATCTTTCGTCCAGTGAGAAATACAGAACATCAGGTGCCGATGGGATTAGAGTCCCGTGCTAAGGCCATAATCATATCGTCATAATCGGCTGGAATAAGCCAAACATGACGAGGATCAATCAAACTTATCACATACTCTTTTGAGAGCTTCCAGTATTGATATTTCTTCGTACGAATATTATGGAGGCTTGGACGACCTCTGGAGAATTTCATGATTAAAGCGTATTCAAATTGGTTTGAGGAGAGATCCATCTCTAAGGATGAGAAAAAGCAAGCAGGAGCCTTTTCAATAGTTGTGAACTGTTGAGGCGAAAATGATAGGTGAATAGGGTTAAACCAAGCAGGTGGTGGCTTCGGAGCAGCCGATGTGAGAACCTGAGCAAAAGTACGAATTGAAGATTTTAGAGGAGCCATCGACGGATTTCTTGAAAGGTCGGGATGAGCGGCAGTGGCGCCGAAAATTTTTATAGGTACTGTTTTATGCGCAGGAGACTCAATCTCGACAGAGAATCGTTTGATCCCGAGATCGAACGCACTTTTCAAGCCGGTAGGCAACTCTAACGCGCACACAATCCAATGGAGGACGCACAACAAAGAGACACGGAGGATTATTTTCTCGATGAAGACGAAATTCGAATCCAAGAACAACCCCCATGACTTCCATTACAGCCAGTCGTTAGCCCGCGAGCACTTCAGAACTACATAGTCCCCACTCTTGATGGATTCCATCGGAGCATTCAATATCCCCCCATCGAGGCCCATAATTTCGAGATCAAGCAAGGCCTCTTGACGATGCTCCAAAATAACTGGTTATTTAGTGGATTGGCAGGTGAAGATCCTCATCTTCACATTTTCAATTTTCTCGATACTTGTAATTCGCATCGTAAAAATGGTGTTTCCCAAGAGGCACTCTAGTTAATCATTTTCAATTGCAAGGAAGAGCTCGCTAGTGCTTGTGTTAGAGTAGGTGACCAACAAGCCCACTTGTGATTGTGGTCTTTTCATCTATTCTTGTAATAAATAATCCTTTTTCGTAATAATGATAAAACACCTTGGCATTCTATATATTTTTCCCTCGTACAAGCATAGATATAGTCCTTAAAATTATTACAATTACTTATATTTGATCTATTAAGATCATGAGATATTTCCTTAAGTATTATAACTATTAAACCGGGTTCATAGTCGAAGGGTTACGCCACCAATGAGGATATCGACCATTCCCATTAAGAGACTAGCACTTAGTCTATGTGTATTGTGTCTCATCACTAAACGGTATTGTGATATCGCCATACATGAGTGGGTGCTCGTAAGTTGAAGAGTTCACTGAACTCCCTCATCCTATAAATATCTAAGTGGTTCTAAATAATCGAGTTGAGATCTCTATGATATAGTTGTACACCATTAGTCCTTAAGACCTAGACATCACCGTGACTTCACTAGAGGACCAGTTGTATCGTGACCTGTCCCTGAGTTCCACCGTGGACCGCCCCAAGGGCCAGTGTTCGTGCAGTCCGAAATCTAGTGGGGGGTCTGTGCATTGTAGTCGGGGATTCGATCGCTAGAATAGTCGTAGATGTTCTGCGTGTTCTCATAGTTTGTAATCTGTAAGTCTCTCGCCAGAGCTGACTAAGTGATGATTAGGGAATTTGATTCCCTAAGTCATGCACGTACCGATTACAACTCTTAGAACGATCGCAGTGTTATTGAACTACAAAGGAGGTCTCGATGAACCAATGCCTCTAGTTCAATCGGGACATATGTATCGAAGGGATCGTACTGTACGTTAACTATATTACACGGTTCTTTCAGACACTTCATTTGTATCCAGGGAATCATGATGCATAGTTGCTAGAAGCCAATCTTGATTCGTTGGGTGATTAAGTTGAAACGAGCTTCATCTTAATTATAACTCTAGGGACGAGTTTAAACCACTAAGAGTTGTGGACCCACGGCTAGCTTACACCTGAACCATCGAGGGTCACACTGCTCGTGCACTCGAGTTCTTTGAATAAAAGGTCAAAGATAAAAATATTTATTTTTATCATAATTAGAAGTCAATACGATTGAGTCCAACATTCATAATTGGGAATTACGAATGAGAATAAGAAAAGGAAAGAACTAGGCGATCATCTGAGTGAACTTTCTAAATTGGGAAGTTTTCAAATTTAGCAAGGCCACTGAATTAGGGTTTCCAGTTTTAGAAATTGGAAATCGAGATTCGGCATTCGTATTGATGAAGACATTTCAATGATTCCGAAAATATAATTGTTAAAATTTTCCAATCATTGGTTTATAAAAAACGAGCGAAGAGAAACTAACGAACTTAAGCTGATGGGCCCGGTCCAACTTAAGCCCGTTAGGGCTTATATACAAGACACTATAAATACAAGATGTACAGGTCTTGTAGAAACACACAATACATAACAAACCCTAGCTGCTCACAAACACTCCCGATGCCAATCTCCACCGCCGTCGCCGGAAATCGGGGACCACGCGCCGCTACTCCTCGGTAGTTCTATTCTTTTATTTTATTCCTCCATTTAATCTAACTTTTGCGTGTCTAGTGCCACGTATTTAGTAGAACTCGGTATACAAGGTGAAATCCGAGAGGTGGAAGACAAAGGAGTTAAATTGCCGAGAAGCACTCGCCGAAGAGCCGCCACACGCGCCCTCACGCGTTGCCTGAAGACAGCGTGTGATTCACACTCGTCGCCGCTGCCCGCGCGTCCATCGTTGCTGCTTCACCGCTGCTTCTCCCGACGACACGGATTGGTTTCCGTGGTAGTTTGCTTCAATCGGAGAACTCACTTCACGCTTCAAGAGGTAATTTTCGGATCCGTTTTAATTAGGTTTTAATTTAATGTGATTAAATTAATTGTTGATATCTGCAGTATGATTTTCACGAATTTCTATGTAATTGTTGATGCATGATTGATGATATACTGCGAGCATGCTACTTGATCTAATTATCGAACTAGTATTTCACCCGTGCGTTGCACGGAGGTCAGTTTCAAAATGAGAAAAATAAACTTATGTAAACGACTATGTCTTAATAAAAAAATACCAATTCAAGTAAAACAAAATGGAAGGAAATAAAAAACATAAAGTTTATCTATTAATTTAGTGGTGTAACATATGAAATAAACTTAAATATTACAAATAAAAAAACATGAAGCGCGCAAAACACGATATCAAAATTAAATGAAATCATTTAAAACATATGGTATAACTCTATTTCTTGGATTGCAATCTACTACACCATGTGAATCTTCTGCAAAATAACTAAGGTAACAACAAACATGGTAACAGATAAGTAACACAATAGATATTCAAATAATCTGCAAGTTTATCACTAATGACGTTCAATTAGTGATGCACATTACTCAAACAACAATAAAACTTATAAATATTGCAAAAGAGATATGATGTATACGCCACTACCAGTACCGATACCAATGTTGATACCAATACCGATATCAATACTGATACCAATATTGTTACCAATAGTGATACTAATTTGATTAATACTAATACTAATACTAATACTAATACTAATACTAATACTAATACTAATACTAATACTAATACTAATAATAATACTAATACTAATACTAATAATACTGATACTAATAATAATATTGATACTAATACTAATACTCATACTCGTACCAATACTAATAATAATAATAAAACTAATACTAATATATTCATATTGATAATACTAATAATAAGACTAATATTTGTACTAATACTAATAATAATATTGATACTTACATTGATAATTATAGTGATATTGATACTAATACTAATATTAATACTAATACTAATACTAATACTAATACTAATACTAATACTAATACTAATACTAATACTAATTCTAATACTAATACTAATATTGGTACTAATACTAATACTGATACTAATACTAATACTAATACCGATACTAATACTAATATTAATACTAATACTAATACTAACAATAATACTCATACTCATACCAATACTAATTCTAATAATAATACTAATACTAATACTAATATTCATATTGATACTAATACTAATACTAAGAATAACAGTAATATTGATACTAATACTAATACTAATACTAATATTAATACGAAGAATAAGACTAATACTGATACTAATACTAAAAATAATAGTGATACTAATATTGATATTGATACTATTATTAATACTGATAGTAATACTAATACTAAGACTAAGACTAATACTGATACTAATAACAATAATAATTATGTAACTGATACTAATACTTATACTCATACTGATACTCATAGTAATATTATATTAATACTGATACTGATATTGACACTAATACTGTACTCATAGCAATATTAATATTAATACTAATACTAATACTTATTTTGATATTGATACTAATACTAATACTTATATTAATATTTATACTAATACTAATACTAATACTACTACTCATATTTATATTGATATTGATACTCATATTGATATTCATAGTAATACTAATACTAATATTGATACTCATACTAATACTGATACTCATACTAAATACTCATACTCATACTTATACTCACAATCATATTGATACTCTACTAATACTGATACTAATATTGATATTGATACTGATACTAATACTGATACAGATAGTGATACTAATATCGATACTGATACTGATATTGATATTGATACTGATACTGATACTGATACTCATACTGATATTGATATTGATATTGATACAAATGTTGATACTGATACTGATACTGATACTAATACTGATACGGATACGAATATTGAAACTGAAACTCATGATACTAATACTGATACTGATAATGATACTGATACTGATACTGATTATAATTTTAATTTTCATTCTAACCATAATCCTAATCCTAATGCTAATCATAATTATAATACTAATACATGCCACTAATTGTAGTACTAATTAACAATCATAATCTTAATTATAATTCAATTACTAATACTAATCATAATCATAATCATAATCCTAATCCTAATCCTAATATTAATTATAATACTATATTAATCCGAATCCTAACCTTTGTTAGGATAGTAGACTAAAAGTCTCGCTTTTAACTACATTTTTTATTGTTGAATTAATAAAATAGTTTATTATCATTTTATGAGAATCTGCACTAGGGTATTCAATGCATTTAATTGATTGTTTGTCAATTAATTAAAAACATAAGTCTAATATTCTAATAGTATTCGAGATGGTGTGTTACGACGCACAGAAAGATCATTTCGAAAGTTCGTTTAGAATATAAAGATAAACGTTCACAATCTAGATGGAAATGGACTAACCATTGGTAAAATATTGTAGCACAATATTTAAGTGATTGGTCTTGATCACAGTAAACAGCGAATAACTTTTGTAGTTATTGTTTTGACTTATTGTGCTAGCACACCCGGCATGTGTTGAACCGGACAAAGTGAAATAATTGTTTCATCACTGTTCAAAATGAAACTGTATTATTTCTAGTCGACAGTAAATTACTTACTCTCTTAATCCCTAAATAATTAACGTACATATTTAATTGATGATCTCTACTTTGATGTCACAATGGGAGAGATTCCTATATTGAGTCAAATGGCCCCCGGTGCGTTGGGTAGAGACATAAGAATTAATAGGTGGAAATTAATTATCGAAAGGAATCCACATCTCTGAAATATGAGATTGATATTAACCCTTGAGTAGCTTATAAGATTTGTTTATGCCAAGTCCTGGCCAGGTGGATTTCGTATCCGGCATACTCAAATAAGTTAAGCGGGCAAGACTCATGAAAAGAAACCATTTAATTTATTTAGCAGTGAAAAAATTATTTGGTGGTTATAAGATATCTTAATGTGGGGCGAATCTAAGTAATGATCGACCGGAGCTCGAATGTAATATTTGAGAATATAAACGGGAGTTCAATAATTATTTGGTAGTGGAAAATAAATGATTATTTAATGATTAATTAAATGAATTCTTTTAAGAGTTTAGATTTAATTAATTATTAGTTGCCCGATTTATATTTTCTCCTTTAGTCCCTATTGTAGCCCAATGGATTTTCTAATTAATCGAGAAAATAAAGTCCAACTAATATTATATATTGGAATTAATATAGCCGAAAATTAAGTCCCCATTGGACTGCAATTTTCGACTATATAGAGTTATAGAAGGAGTGGGATTTGTTCCCATGTAATCCTCTCTATGTGTGACTCTTCTTCTTTTCTCTCTAAGTTTCTCGATTATAGATTTAGATTTCTTCAAGTACAAGTCCACCCTTGTAGAAGAATTATTAATCCGGGATATACAATAGAAGATTATAGGTTTTTAGAGCAAACTACAATTCCCGAATTTTCTGAGCAGTCCTGCGAAGAAATTCGTCATAAATCAACCGTTCGTTGAATAGGCTCGAAATTTATACAGTAGCTTCCTAACCCTTAGATCTACA